ATAATTATAGAAAAAAAAAAAAAAGAACCCGTCAGTCAGAAGCCACTCAGCTGGAACGAACCACAAATGCAAGTCTAAAGAAAATGAGCTGGTTGCCTTGCTCGTTAGGAGACCTGGGGAGGGGAAAGGCTGCAAGGGCTGAAATAGAAAATGCAGGACCTTTATGTTCAAATGTACTCTTATTAGGCTTTCTTACCTAACCTGAAAAATCACCTTGGACTCTGACTCCTGGCCACCCTTGTCTGTATGTCAGGGCAGAATCACGCACCTGAGGGGCCTCAACATTGCCTTTTCTCAATTAAATCATCAGACCTTTCTTCTGCCAAAAAGAGCAAAGTTTCTGTCAAAATGAATGTGTTTTATGAAGGGATTGTGCAGGGTACTACTACACTGGGCAAAAGAATTCTGCAGAGAAACAGAAAAACTCAGAAATACGCAAGCAGGTGGATCCTGATAGTTCTCTATTTACAAAACCCTCCTTTCGCAGATACAAGATGACGTTTATCTTAATCCTAAAGTTTGAGCCAGTTCACATTTTGTTAATCTCTGGCTCTTTGGGAGCCAGCCTGAGTCAGACTGTTCAGGGATCTGCAGTGAGAGGAAGTGAGAAGGGTGTCTGAGGGTTCTGAGATGCTGGCTAGCTGTTATTTGCTATTCAGCTTGGAATAAGCAGTAAATTACATAAATGGAGGCAGAAACCTCTCCTCACGCCAAGCACCTAGACCTGTGTGGGCGGGCTCCCCCACACTTCCAAGGTGTCAGTAAGTGGGCTTGAACCTCCAGCTGAGGGCCAGCTCCGGACCCAGCTCATTAAACTCGCCCACCACCAGCTACTCCTATATAGCCTTCAACAGCCCTGTGAAGAAAACTCTCGCCACCTCCGAACTGCTTCTCTTTCCAGGCGTTAGATCAGAGGTTCCGAGTTCTGCCCTTCACTCTCAGGAGCCGGGTGCCTGTTCCAGTGCCTGGCATTCGCCCACCGGTCCTTCTCCAGATCTGCCCCCGCCTCCCTCCAGCCCTCTGAGGCCCCTTATCCCCCGTACCTGCGCAGAGGCTGGAATAGAAGCCCTCGTGCTTGAGCATGATGAGCAGGGAGCCCCATCCCAGGAGCACCGCGGAGAAGAAGAGGTTTTCCAGGACCGCGGTGCAAGCCATCCACCAGCGCCGCCGGTACGCCTGCTGCAGAGTGGGGGCCATGCTGGCCGAGAGCCTGCACAGAAACAGGGCACTGAGCGAGGGGGTTCCCAGGAGTCCCAGGGAGGAGTTCTGCATCATGATGGCACCTGGGACCCCTCGGGACAGCCCTGGATGGCACCTTCATGGAGGACCCATTAGAGCCCTCAGAGTCCCAGCGGGCGCAGCCGGGCCGGTTCGGGGCGCACTGGCAGTGCCAGGGGCGCACGCGGCGTGGGGCACCCGCCCGGCCGCTATCACAAACAAGGACCGTCCTGTCTGCGCGCAGCCGCTTCCTGGCGCGCTGCCGGCTTCTCTCACCCGCGCCCGGGCGCGCACCACCGGCTTGGGGGGCCGGACCCGCACTTTCCCAAGTTCCCAAAGGTCAGCAGGCAACAGGGCGCGCGCTGAAGCCAATGCTGGCCCACGTCCGGCCCCCGTGGCAGAAAAGACCTCCCCCCACCCCAGAAACAAGCAGGCTGCAGGAGGAAGGGGGAGTCTGAAACTAACTTAAGAGCTACCCCCATTTCGGTTGCCCCCCTAAGACCAAGCCACCACACCGGGGCTGGGCGAGAGAGCAAGCCCTCCCCTTTTCACGGCGGGCGACCCAGGTCCCTGCAGTCTCAGGCCAAGCCAACAGCTGCCACGTGGACGACGCCCCAGGGCTACCCTCCGGCGACCGGGTCGCCCCCCGCGTCCCCACTCACTCGGGAGGACGCGGGCCCTGCTCCCCTGCGGCCCCAGGAGGGGGCTTGGCCAGGAAGTCCGGCGGCGCTGCCTTTATAAGGACAGAGGCGGCGGGCCGGCGGGCGGACGCGCGGGCGGGCGGGAGTGTTTACCCGAGGGAGGGAAGGAGTCCGCACGGCCCCCCGCCGCCACCGCGGGCGCCACCGCCACCCGGAGGGGACACAGGGCGCGGGGCCGGGCGGGGGGCCGAGGACTCGGATCGGCCAGGGGGCGAAAGCGAGGGCGCGGAGAGGACAAGAGGACGGGAGGGAGGGAGGGAGGGAGGGAGTCAGCGAGCGCCCGCGCCCCTTTCCCGGGGGACCTCAGTCCCCACATCTGCGAAATGGGGCTTTGGCTCGTGACGCTCCGGGAGGTACATGCCAACTCTGACTTGAGAAGAGGAAGTGAAGCAAGAGGTGGCACAAGAGGAAAAGGAGAGTCGGGGGCCCCCGGGGAGTGAGAGGGAGGAGCGCGCCGGAGAAGAGGGGTGGCGCGCGGGGAGACCGGGGACAGGGCGCCGCGGGACCACCGGCTCGAGTTAACGTGCCGGGGGAGCCCACCCCGATGAACGCGCAGCCCGAGACTCGAACCCACACCGCTCCTCACCTCTGCGCGCGGCGAGTGCGCCTGCTGTCGCCTCTGGGAGCGCAGCGCCCGGGCGGCGCGTCCCCACTGCAGACGTCCGGACTCCCGCGGGCTCGGCCCCGAGCGGTGCTCGCGCTGGCGGAGTGTCAGCGCCGGAGCCGAACAGCTGGCGGCCTGGCCTCCTCTGCCCCCTCGGAAGAAGCTCAGGAGGTGGGAAGCCGCCGGGCGCCCACGAGCGAGGAAGCGGAGTATGAACTGAGAAGATGCACGGCCTGGGAGGCTGTATTTACACCGCGCGGAGGGGGCGGGGGCCTCCCTTCCCTTCCCCTCCCCCTGGGTCGAGTTTCACGCCCACGTGACTCGCCCGCGGGTCCCGGCTCCTCGCACTCGAGCGCCTACAATTTCCACCTCTTCCACGCCCCACCCTCACTGTCCCCTTTGCTCCACAGGCGAGGGTCAAGTCGCACCCTCTGTAACCTTGGGCAAAACAAAGGACGACACACGCTGGAGCCTCCTGACCCAAAGGGGCAGGCAGTCTCGGTGGCGTTTTGAACTATGATGCTGTGTTTCCTTCACAAGTTTCTTGGAAGTTAGTCCATGTCCGCTTTGAAACTGGCCGAGTTTCCTTGGGCAAGTCCCTTCACGTCTCAGCCTCAGTTTCCTCTAGAATTCAGAGGGTAACTCGATAGTACATAACAACAACAACAAAAACAACATAGTACCTACCTCCTCCAAGAACTGCAGGGATGAACCAGATGGTATAAAAGCAGATAAAATACTGACTACAACCTCTTTATCGTGCTGTTCTCCGTGAAAAGTTTAGGATATCGGTGTGCGCGTGACTTTTTCTTAGCCAGGAAGAAAATATTCTTTAAATGGAAGAATATTATTTTGAGATAGTGCATGTTATTGGTATGGCTTTGCTCAATAAGACATGCATGTTTTTAGCCTGTTTAATAAGAAACCTCATTGCCTCTGAGTCTGAACCCCTCCAAGGGGATTTCTGAGGCTGTAAATTGAAGGAGAGCAAATTGCCCATCTTTCTCCTCTGGGAGCTGCTAAATGAATGCCGGCCTTTGTGTAGTTAGCGCAACTCCTTACCCACTTGTTTCGTTTATGTTAAATACTGGGCACAATTGAACAAACTACTTTGGACCATATTGTGCTGCTGCCTGTTTGTCAAATAAAGTTTTATTGAAATACAGACACTGAACAAGTTGCTGCTGTGATTAATACTTCAGAAGAGGAGGTGGCCAGAGGCATTCAGTCACGGTTGGTCAGCATGAATCTCTCCTAAGCCCCGGTTTCCCCACCTGTAAAATGGAAGTGGAGTGTCACTATTTGAAGGAGTCCCTGAGTGGCACAGATAGGTAAGGGATGTTCTAACGTTGGTACCTCAAAAATGTGAATGAAATCCCTTGAGAACAAACAAAAAAACACCAACCCCACTGCTGTTGAGCTGATTCTGACTCACAGCAACTCTCCTTCAGGTTTTCTAAGACTCTAAGTCTTTAAGGGAGAAGATTGTCCATGTTTCTCCCAAAGTGTAGCTCTTAGGTTTGAACTGGTTACCTTTAGGTTAGCGGGACAGCACATACACACCACCATGGAACCCTGAAGATCTTGAGGAGAGGCGTCTGCTCAGGGTGTAGGCAAGGCTCTGTTTGTATCGATCTTTCTGAGCTTTCTCCCCTGTAGGGAGGAGCTCTGCCAAATGCTTCCAGACATCCGTGGGCTTCCAGGGAAAATACCCAGCTGACCCCCCCACCCCAATCACCTAGAGATAAATAAAATCACTGAGTTCACCTTTATCATGAACAAAATAATTTCTGAAGGGATCTCATCATTATCTACCCACCGCCACCAGGTGAATTCTGATCCCAATTCTTCACAAACCTGTCCTGGAGGAGTGGACGTGCTCCATCGACTTTGCCAGGCTGTGATCTTTGCAGAAGTCGTTTGCTGTATCTTTCTCCTTTGGAGTGGGCTCGAGTTGTCCATCTCCCAGTTGGTGGTCATATCCTTTAACCACTGCACTATTGGGGCTCCTTCCCTAAGTCTCTGCTGGGTGCCACTGAGTCACTTCTAGCCCAGTGGTGATCCTCTCTGTCCAACACAAACTCCGTCCAGTCCTGTGTCATCCTCACAATCACCCCCAGTGGTTCATCGATCTCATTGCACCTCTCCCTCTTTTGTGCGGATCCTCTGTTTTGCCAAGCACAGTGGTTTTCCCTAGGAATGGCCTCTCCAGACGCAGGCCTAGAGCACGTGAGATAAAGTCTCATCATCCTCGCTCTGAAGAGCATTCTGGCTGTACACCTTCTGAGACAGATTTGTTTATTCTTTAGACAGGCAGTCCATAGTCTATTCAATATTCCTTTGCTAACAATTCAAAGATATCGGTTCTCCTCTGCTCCTCCTTCTTCACGGTCCAACTTTTACAATCATCTGAGACAATTGAAACTCCCACGACTCGGGTCAGGCACACCCTGGACCTTGTGATGGTTGAGGCTGCATGTCCACTCGGCTGTCCATGATTCTCTGGTTTGGCAGCTGTGAGGTGGTCATTTTCTCGATGAGTTTGATGTAGTGTAATCATTCTATGATTGTTTGAATGCTCCCTTTTGCTCCTCTAGAGAACACAGCCCAAAACATTTGGCAGCAAGAATGGTTCTAGAGAGAGAAAATTGTCAAGATGTGTTTTCTAAATTGTTCCTAAAGTCTGTATAGTCTTATAGGTGCTAATAGTTCTTTCTCCCTTAGTAAAGGGAGGGGTTCTGTTAATCAATGGCCTGAGGCTGAAATATGTTGTTGTTGTTGTTTAAGTGCCGTGTTGTGGGCAACTCATAGTTACCCTATGACGAGAGTCCTCAACACTTGTGTGACTTTCATCCTCTCTCCAGGTTCATAGGGTTTCTAGAGGCAAGCTATTTATGGAAGTGGATGCCACTCCTGCTTCCAAGCTTGTTTTAATCAGGGAGCTCCACCAAACACTGTCTGCCATCGGTAACCATTATCACATTTGACACATAAATGTCACAGTGTTTAGCATCACAGCAACCATGAGTTACTTCTGTTCAGCAAGTGAATATATCAGGGTGACACGACCTAGAAGAATGTTTGACCAAAAACAATTGAAGAACAGGCCAGAGAGCCGCAGATTAAAGTCACCCACCTTTGGCTTGGTAGCATCACTTTCTGTCCACTAGGCCAACTGGTCACTCTCTATGTTGTTGCTGTTGTTGTTAAGTGCCGTCGAGTTGTAGGCAACTCATAGCGACCCTGTGAATGAAAGTCCTCAACACTTGTGTGATTTTCATCCTCTTGTTCACAGTTTCAGTTTGCTCGGCTCCACAGTCAACACTCTTGGCACCAGCAGTCAGAAAATCAAAAAGCGTATTGCGATGGGAAAGTCTGCTGTTAGGGACCTCTCTAAAGTACTCAAGAGCAACGGTGTCTCTCTGGAGACTAAGGTGCGCCTGATACAGGCCATGGTTTTTGCAGTCACTTGTTATGCATCAGAGAATTGGACAATGACTAGGGAGGATAGAAGGAGAATTGATGCCTTTCAGCTGTGGTGCTGGAGAAGAGTATTTAATGTACCATGGACTGCCAAGAAAATAAACAGATTCATCCTGGAGAGGATTAAACCAAGCAACTCCTTGGAGGCAAGGATTCTGGGGCTTCGTCTGACATACTTTGGGCATGTTGCCAGCAGGGACAGGTCCTTGGAGAGGGACATCATGCTTGGGAGGGTGGAGGGATGGCGCCGGAGGGGAAGACCCTCTATG